ACTTAAATATGTGCCACCATTTTCTTTACTTTCGTTTGCACATTTAGTAGGTTTATTGGAACTTAACATTTTTTCAGTCGTGGTATACTTTTGAAACTTTAACATGTGCATTTTATGAATCAAGAAGCAAAATACCTTGCCCTTACGTGTTGAGATTTCAATATGTCCGAATAAAGTTCTACATTTGTTAGGAAACAGAGTGATCTATGATATATAAATGAAGATAATTATCTTTAGTGGTATTAAGAGACATTTTAGGTAAAATCAAATGCAAAGTCGTGAGACTTGTGATGAAGATGGACAATATCATACAATTGTAGAGATATTTAGGATACCATTGTCTTTAACACGACATTCATGATATATATAAGATGAAAACAAAAATATGTTTGGTAAATTATTATTATTATTTTTTAATTTCTGGCAAAATAATAAAAAACGAAGGAAAATTGAGTTTATATTAATGTGAAATGGTTATCAAATTGGACTATAACGATTTTTTTTGTCAGTAGGGAAATTCCCAGAAACTATATAATGATAACAACAATGAAAGAATCATGAAAATGTTATGGAGAGAAAAATATAGATTGTGGAGAGTTTGGGGCATGCGAAACCTGCAAAAAGACTTTAGCGATAAAAAAGCAAGGAAAAAAAGAGTGGATTTGGTTTTGCTTTTTATGGGCATGGGCTGGAAAGAGGAGAAAAAAGAGTCAAAAGAGAAACATGAGTGGGCTAATTTCAAATATTAATGTGCCCAACTCAATCACCATAGAGAAGAGAAAGCCAAGTCTAAGGCTACTAGGGCTAAGAAAATTAAAGCTTTTTTGGGGTCTTCCCAGATCCCAAAAGTACAATTTCTGTGGTTCAAAAGCAGAGCAAACGCCTCCCCAAATAGGGCATCCCTAGATTGAAACTGTGGAACAATGGGAAAGAAGAGAGGCCCTTCTGTTCTTGCAAAGTTTAAAGCTTTTTTTTAACCCAAAAAAAAACCTCTGTTTCAGTTCCTCCCTCTGTGCATGGATGAGAAACGAGAGCTACATATATAAAATACTTAGTATTGCCCAATCCACGCAGAAAAAGGAAAAGGGGTTCCCTTGAAGTTTCTTGTGAAAAGAGAGTGATTAGGGGTTAGGGGTAGGGTTTAGGGCAGCCGGCCTAAAGTTGGAGGGCATAGGGGTTGCTGTTCATCGTCATTTTAGTAGTACAGCTAACGGTTTGAGAAATTTAAGAGGGAAAAAAAAAGTAAGGGCTTTTTGTGGGCATTTATATGAATGGTCCATCTTCACTGCAGCTTTATTTGCACGCAAACACACACACAGATCCTGTTCTATTGCTGTTGCCTGTTTATACCAAATTCCAAGGCTCACGTTTAGTACTGCCTTCTCTTCGTCTTAAATTTTGCTACTTCGTATTTATACTTGTATTATGATGTTTGACGTTATCTGTTTGTTGGTTTCTGCTGTATGGAAGTGGCCAGTGGGGAGTAATTAATGATCTTCTCCCATCATAACTATTTTGTGTACTAAATAATGACGGGTATGTAAAATTAATTATTTCTCAGTTCTTTGATTTTGCATTGTTTGAGTTGAGTTTTCTCGAGTGTATTATTGGATACTTCTTAATTGGGTTTGTTGGGACTTATTGTAAAATAAACCCTTCAAATAATATATTATGCACGACTATTATTGCCAACAAGTACATTTCATGCTCTAATCTAATTAAATCCCTTGAGAAGTGAAGTATTTTTTTAATGCTACTTGGCCAAACTCGCAATATATTATTTGGAGACTTTGTTGTACTTACCTATGGAGTGAATTTAAGTTTACTTATATGATTTTTCCATCATTATTAAAAATGTTCGTACTACCGTAATACTTCTATTTCATATGGACTTATCACTCCTCAATTTCAATATCTTACTCTATGTAGAGTTCTTCGTCCAAAGTATTTTGTAATATTTGTTTGACTTTAGAGCTCCTATTCAATTCCTCTAATTTTCTGGATGGGAGTTGTTGGTTCATTCATGTACATCTATACTCGAGAGCGTCATTGTAGTACTAGATTTTTGTTGCTTTCTTCAATCGTCCGCCATTACTAACTTGATGATTGAATTTCCTATAGGGACAACACCATTGTTAGTCAATTCTCTATACTATTTTTGCAAGAAATGCATTAAGAAATGTTTAGATTTGAATAATATCAAATGCCATTCCTCTCGTTTTTGTTTTTTAGGTGTGGAGAGTGGCGAGTAAGAATGTAGTAGTTTGTGTTAAGGATCTCACATTGATAAAAGAAGAGACTTAACAATGGTTTATACTAGACATGAGCTACTCCTCTCATTACCAATTGGTTGTGAGATGGAACCCCATGAATATTAATATGGTATCAGAGCCCACAAGCTCAAACGAGCATTCGGTCCAAAATGAGACTTGAGATGGAACCCATGAATATTAATAGTTTGGAGTTTGCTTTTTGGGGTGTCATTGAATTCTGCAACTGTTGAACATGGCGGCTTTATTCCAGCAAAGTCATACAAGGTTTTTTTTAGTTGGGAAACGCAGACCTACCCATTTACTAAGAGAATATCCTTTAATGATCCATCTTTTCAACCCCACTTTTTTCTGTCACTTTTCATTAACTTTGACTGGTT